TGGCTGGCGCCTTAGCCGGTTGAGCTATAGGCGCCGAGCCGGGAGGCTGAATTCTCTTGGGAGAGAATCGCTTAAGCCCAAGAGTTTGAGGTTGCTATGAGCTGTGACACCACAGCACTCTATAGAGGGTGACATAGTGAAACTCTGTCTCAAAAAAAAGCTCATCTCTGGCCCCACTTGTCTTTGGGATTGCCTTTGACTACGGATACAAAGAGAGTGCTAAATTTTCTAGCCTGGGTCATCAGGTAGCTGGGAAAAGAGAGGAGTCAGCAATGCCAAATGTCTTGGGTAGGAGGAAGGTCAAGTCTATGGCCATTCTCTGAGAGATCCATGGAAACTTCTGCAGCTTGCACAGGACAGAAAGACAAATATAAAATCTTCAGTAACAGTTAGACTTTGGATATTTCCACAGGGTATCTACTATGTAAAGTCATGGTATTGTTTTTGTGTTTGAAATATTTTCCTAGAATTAAACAGGTAAAATACACATTTCTTTAACTTTGTTTTGGTATGACTTTTATAGTAAATCTAGAACCTGGAAAGTAAAAAAGTGCCAGCTTGGCACCCGTAGTTCAGTAGTTAGGGCACTGGTTACATACAGAGATAGGCAGGTTCAAACCCGGCCTGGGCTTGCTAAACAATGACAACTACAACCAAAAAATAGCTGGGCGTTGTGGTGGGCACCTAGAGTCCCAGCTACTTGGGAGGGTGAGGCAAGAGAATCACTGAAGTCCCAGGTTGCTGTGATCTATGACGCTATAGCACTCTACTGAGGGTGACACAATAAGACTCTGTCTCAAAAAAAAAAATGAAAAAAGTGCCCAGAACCCTCTCAATCCCTGTAAAGCCAGATTTACAAGGTGTATAACTTCCCCTTCACCTGTAAAATGAAGATAAGCCCACTCTTGATCCTGTGGGATTTGCAGGTATAGATAAAGGACCCAACACTGGAAGCACTGGAAAGAGCCACAGCTCGAATTCTTTTTTATAAACCAGAGGCTACCATGAAAACCACTGAATAAGGCCAGGCACAGTGCCTCACACCTGTAATCCTAGCAATCTGAGAGGATCACTTGAGCACAGGAGTTATAGAACACCATGAGCTAGAGTAAGACCCCCAACTCAGCTAAAAAAAAAAAAATAGAAAAACTAGCTGGGCATCATAGAGGGAACCAGTAGTGTCAGCTGCTTGAGAGGCTGAGACAGGAAGATCGCTTGAACCTAGGAGTTTGAGATTGCTGTGAGCTAGGTTGATGCCATAGCATTCTAGCCTGGGTACAGAATGAGACTCTGTCTTTAAAAAAAAAAAAAAAAAGGAAGAAAAGAGAAAAAAAGACACTAACTGAGAAGGCTATAGATAATGATGTTGGCTGCCTGTATCATGGAGCAAGGTCTCTTTAAAAAGACAGAATCGGGTGGCGCCTGTAACTCAGTCAGCAAGGGTGCCTGCCACATACACCTAGGGTGGCGGGTAAAAACCAGGCCCAGGTCTGCCAAGCAACAATGACAACTGCAACCAAAAAATAGCCCGGTGTCGTTATAGTCCCAGCTACTTGGGAGGCTGAGGTGAGGGAATTGTTTAAGCCCAAGAGTTTGAGGTTGCTGTGAGGTAGAGTGATGCCATAGCACTCTACCCAGGGTGACAGCTTGAGACTCTGTCTCACAAAAAAAAAGACAGAACCAACCTGAGCAAGATCCAGACCCAGTCTCTACTAAAAGCAGAAAAACTGGGCAGTGCCCATAGTTCAGTGGGTAGAGCGCTGGCCACATACACCGAGGCTGACGAGTTTGAACCTAGTCCAGGCCAACTAACACAATGACAACTATAACAAAAAAATAGCCAGGCATGGTGGCAGGCACCTGTAGTCCCAGCTACTTGGGACACCGAGACAAGAGAATTGCTTATGCTCAAGAGTTTGAGGTTGCTGTGAGTGTGCTGTAACGCCACAGCACTCTACCCAGCAAGCTCCATGATACAGATTCTGTCTCAAAAATAATAATAATACACAAAAATACATAAAAAAATAAAGACAGAAAACCTAGTCAGGCACAATAGTACATGGCTATAGGAGCAGTGCCTGTGGCTCAAAGGAATAGGGCACTGGCCTCATATGCCGGAGGTGGAAGGTTCAAACCCAGCCCTGGCCAAAAAAAGAAGAAAAAGAAGTTTCTCATGTTGCTGAAATTTATATATTAATTTTTCCTTTTTCAAAGCAAGAGCTGTTGGTGAGGTGAAATGACTATTAGGTTTTATTATGGTTTATAAATTAGTAAAAGGGATATTTAATTCTGTAAAAAAAATTAAAATGAATAAACTGCAGTATATTCACACATGGAATACTATGCAGAAATTAAAAACTACTGAGCAGCACCTATGGCTCAAGGAGTAGGGAGCTGGCCCCATATACTGGAGGTGGCAGTTCAAACCGGGCCCCGCCAAAAACTGCAAAAAGAAAAAAAAAGAAGAAAGAAATTAAAAAGTACTGCCACACAAGACATTAACAAATTAATCTCACAGACATGATTTTTCAAGAAAGAATCTAAACACCAAAGAGGCTATTTTCACAAAAATGAAGTCTTAGGGCTAGGTGTAGTAGCTCACACCTATTAGCACTTTTGGAGCTGAAGCAGGGGAAATGCTCAAGTTCAAGAGTTTGAGACCAGCCTGAGCAACAGCAAGACCCTGTCTCTACTAAAAATAGAAAAATTAGCTAGGCCTGGTGGTGCATGCCTGTAGTCCCAGCTACTAGGGAGGCCGAGACAAGAGGATTGTTCAAGCCCAAGAGTTTGAGGTTGCTATGAGCCACAGCACTCCACCCAGGGTGAAAGAGTGAGAGTCTATCTCAAAAAAAAAAAAGTATTATTTATATGAAATTCAAGATGATGATAGAGACAACAACAATTAC